ACATTGAACACTAGTTAATTTTTTGGAAGACATAGACTCTTGAATTAGATTTTGTTAAACATGGTTTTGTGAAGACCAGAAAGATAGAGAACTTGTATTTTTTTATAAAACTCAGTCAAGTGAGAAAAGTCGTATCTCTAGAAGAAAAGATCCAGGAAAATATGGTTATTACCCTCCTAAAACAATCACATAAGTGTTTCAAGCAAAGTATTCAATATATTTCTAAAATCATCTAAGCATCTCTTTTCATGTCCCCTTGGCTCAAGGAGTATATTCTGTGTTTTTCCCACAGGTGCATATGCAAAGGGTAAATCCATTGCCTTTGCTTCAAAGCTACACATGGTAACCAAAGTGACTTGGATAAAAGATACAGCTAAGGCAAAGACAGTAAGAAAGAAGTAATGTAACAGGGAGTGTGGAACACCATAGCTACTCAGCTTAAACATACAGAATTTCCTATTGTATTTGAACTACCTTGGTGTATCTACCCCACACAAAACTCTTTCACAGAACCCATTTCAACCCACACACCTGAACTGAATGAGTCAAAGAAAATCAACCATTCTGACCACAGTGCATTTGGCCAAGGCAACTATTTTTTAAAAGAACTGATCCATAGGCTGGCCAGTGACCTGTGATATCCATAACCTGGAAAGAAAAGATAACCTGATCCATTCAGATTTCTTTTGGGAAACCTCAACTAAAGACACCAGAGAAATTCTTCTGTTGGAAATGGGGCAGAAAAAAGTAATCATGAGGGATGCAGCTACCATGTTTATGGCTGAATACTGGATTAAAGGGAGAGTTCTCTGATAAGCCCTTAAAATAGAACTCTCTTTATCCGACTTAGCTTGAAAACATCTCTGTGATTTGCTACTAAAAAAGTATTTACTGTAGGGAAAACTGATTAAATCTGATAAAGGTCTTTGGATTGTACTAATGTCAGTTTCCTGGTTTTGATATTTTACTACTGTTATATAAGATGGTGCACTGGGGAAAACTGAGTGAAGGGTACAGAGGACCTTTGTGTACTTTTTTTTGGTAACTTCCTATGATTCTATATTTATTTCAAGGTTAAAAAGTTTTTATAAAGCAGGTATTAACTGGAATATTTACCTATCAGTATTAGTTTCCTAGGGCTGTCATAACAAAGTACCAAAAACTGGGTAGCTTAAACAACAATGATTTGTCTTACACTTCTGGGGGCTAGAAGTCCAACATCAAGGTGTTAGCAAAACCAGCTCTCTGTGAAACCTCTAGGGAAATCTTCCTTGACTCTTCCTAGCTTTGGCTAGGTGGTCAGCACCTTTTGTGTTCTTTGGCTTTTAGCTGCATCACTCCAATCCTGCTTTTACATGACATTTGTCCTATAAGTGTGTGTCTTCACACCTTTATCTTTTATTATTATTATTATTATTGTTGTTATTATTTTTAAGGCAGTGTCTCACTTTGCTGCCCAGTCTGGAGTGCAGTGACATGATCACAGCTCACCGCAGCCTCCACTTTCTGGACTCAAGTGATACTTCCACCTCAGTCACTGGAACTGCTGGAATGGGCCCTTACCACCATGCCAGGTTCATTTTTGGATTTTTTTTATTTTTTTATTTTTTAGAGAAACAAAGTCTTGCTGTGTTGCCCAGGCTGGTCTCCAACTACTGTGCTCAAATGATCCTACTGCCTTGGCCTCCCAAAGCACTGGGACTACAGGCATGGGCCACCACCCCCAGTCACACGTCCATCTTTTTATAAAAAACATCAGTCATATTCAATTAGGGGCCCACCCTACCCCCAAATAATTTGAACTGATTACAACATCTGCAACAACCCTATTCACAAAAAACATCATATTTTGAAGTATTGGGGTTCAGGATTTATATATATATAAAATATATATATTTTTTTTTTTTTTTTGAGTCTTGCTCATGGCACCCTAGCATTGACCTGCTGGTGGGCTGCAGCAATCCTTCCACTCAGTCTTCCAAGTAGCTAGAACTACAGCCGTGTCCTATCACGCCTGGCTAATTTTTCAATTTATTGTGGAGATGAGGTCTCACCATGGTGCCCAGTTGCCCAGGCTGGTCTTGAACCCATGGGCTCAGGAAATCCTTTTACCTCAGCCTCCCAAAGTGCTGGGATTACAGGTTTGAGCAACCGCACCCTGCCGGATTTCAATATATTTTGGTGGAGGAGGATACAATTCAACCATTCCTATCAAAGACTGACTTCTAGAACCTATCATTTTTCACATTGAAAATCTTGTTTGTTCATTTCTTTAAAAACTCTTTCATTGCCTATATGTATCAGTCACTATGCTAGGTGCTACAAACACAAAAATTAGCAATATGAAGAGTCTTCTGTAAGTGTCAAAAAACTAAGGCTTCTAACATGCTCCTTGAGGAATTCTTAGAGGTCTTCACAGTCCCACTATCACTGCTCAAGGGCATCCCACCAAATGGCACAATCTACTCTAATTCTTCACAGCACATTCATTATGTGGTGCTTTCTTGCACATTTGCTAATTTATTTGCCTTATCTCCCCCCATACACACACACTAGAAAGTAAGTTCTTTGAGGTCAAGGTCCATATTCATCTTTGCTTCTCAAATATATCCCTATAAATTAGAAAAATCTCTCACCTAGCAGGCACCCAATTATTTCTTGAAAGAACATTCACTGAATATGTATGTCAGACTATCTATTATCCCTTTCAATCCTCATGACAACAGTTCCAAGTAGATGCTGGAGCTCTAATTCACACTTGAAATTAAGGCTTAGAGAAGTTTTGATATAACTATCCTGACCAACAAGCAACAGGAGTCAATGAGGCATGCTGACACCTTCAAACCAACTGGGTTTAGCCGAATTCTGCAGCCATGGTCACTTTTATGTTCCAAAGCCAACTTAAAACGCTCGGTGTCTTGTACTTGAAAAATCCTCCTATTTAATATACCGGAAATACATTTCATTTTAGTCTCCAGAGATAAAATCCAAACTAGATGGAATTCCTGATGCTTGAAATAGAAATACTTGGAGAGATCTTTGGATTTAAAAATAAAATACATTTGTGTTTTCATATAATCATAAAATTGAATAAAACCTCCAGTGGCCAACAGCAACAAACTCCTACAATTCAAGCATTCCAAGTATGCAGGGTGTTTTAGATCAAAGGCTAATTTCATTTAAAATGATACAATTGATCCAAGAAATGACTACTTAAAATTGAAGCAATAAACTAAGAATAACTTAAGCCATTTAGAAAGACTAGTACTTTCAATACAATTCAAACTCTTAACATTCAGGTGTTATTTTAAAAAGGCATTTTCGTATAAAGCTTATTATTTTAGTAAACTAAATGTTTCCTCCTAAGAAGATGCCAAGAATCAGATCTCTGTAATTTTATTCCTTAAATAAGAAGTATATTCTAGCTAGGCTCAGTGGCTCAGCCTGTAACCCCGTGCCTTGGGAGGCTGAGGTGAGTGGATTGCCTGAGCCTGTGGGTTCGAGACCCGCTTGGGCAACTTGGTGAGACCTCATCTCTACAATAAATCAAAAAATTAGCTGGGTGTGGTAGCGTGCGCCTGTAGTTCCAGCTACTTGGAAGGCTGAGGTGGAAGGATTGCTGGAGCCCAGCAGATAGAGGCTGCAGGGGCCGGGAGCGGCAACTACACTCCAGTCTGGGCAACGGAGTGAGACTCCAACTCAAAAAAAAAAAAAGAAATATGTTATTACTATATTACTAGAAGAAAATTATATATCTATTAATAACTATCTTTTATCTTTTCAAATTTAAGAACAATAAAATTATTGAGTCCACTGCCTTTTCACAACAAGTATAGAATGGAGACAATTTGGTAAAAAGGAAGGAATTAATATTTAAGCTCATCTACTATGAGAACTTTATATACATATTTTTAAATAAACTATAAAAACTTGTCACTCTTCTTTTCTAGACAGACATTTTCCAATAATAAATACTGTGTAACCAAACATCCCTGACAAGATTCTGATGAGATTTTCATTCCTCTTGCAAATCCAAAGGTTTTGGTTCTGCTAACCTTAATTACTCATGCCTTTAACATTTGTAAACACATGAATGGCCAAACACAAATTTTCTGACTGTATTATAAACAGCATGACTATTCCAAAAATAATACAGTTTGTTTTTGCATTCCAATTATTAGCTGTCTTATACTTCAGTGTTTTGGGAAGTTAATTTATTTAAAGTGACTCCCATCATCAGCAATAATTTTTAGAATTTCTAACATTTTGAAAATTATTCATCATTTATACTTAATTATGAATTATCTCCACACAGTTTCATATTATTATTTTCTCCAGTGTCTTGGTCCATCAAAAAGGCGACATAATGAGAGTGTGGGGTATTTTTCAGACACAAAATCCTCATTTTAAAGCTAGCAAGAATCTAGAAAACCATCACAGTCAAACATTACAGTGGCAAAGAGGAAGACAGTGACTTGTCCAACATCACACAGGACTTTGGTAGGAAACCAAAACACATAACGCAACAGAGCTAATCTTGAGCTATTCTGCAAATGCACTTATGATCTGTGCACTGAGTAAGGGCAAATCATAGGCATAAAGCTGCAGAAACCTAATAACTGGTGACCAGCTGACAATCTGGGGAGCCATTGTGGTTGGCCAGCAAACAACACAGGCAGGACTGAGCTTCAGAGAGAATGTGATCCCAAACAAATACAATTTGTGGAAGAACAAAGTCAAGAAAGGGAACAGAGAAAGTCTGAGGGCACAAAAATCAAAACAAACAAGCAAAAAATAAATTAAATAAAAGTCTGCAGGCAGAAGGGTACCAGTGAAAGGAACTACAGATATAAAGAGGACATCATTAAAAAAGCTTCCCTTGAGCAAAAATCCCATAACCTAATTTCAGTGGTAATTGCAGATATAAAAACTTGCCAGGGCCCACCTTTTTATATTTCAAAGACAAATAAATCTAATTTTTAAGATAATTTATTACTTACCAGGCCTGCTATGGGTGTGGACAGTCTATTGATCTTCTTAATGATGCCAGGTTTAAGCTTATTAATCAAACTGAAAGTAAATAAAGAAATAACATTTGCAATTACAAGAATGTCAATATCACTTCAGTGGTTTTTTAACATTCTCAAAAATCACATATATCACTGTTCCATCCCCCAGTATGTTATTCAGTGTCAATAGCACATCAGAAAACAAACAGCCAAGAAAATAAATCAAGAACCAAAGAACAGCTCTGCACACCATGGTGAGTGGCCCTCCCTAGACCATATAGACACAATTCTATATCCAAAGCCCTGTCCTTTAAAATAATTTCAGCCAGGCGTGATGGCTCACGCCTGTAAACCTATCACTTTGGAAGACCAAGATGAGAGGATTGCTTGTGCCCAGGAGTTCAAGACAAGCCTAGGCAACATAGTGAGACCTCCTCTCTGCAAAAAAATAAAATAAAATAAAATAAAAATTAGCAGGACATGATGGTGTATGCCTATAGTCCTAGCTACTTGAGAGACTGAGACAGGAAGATCACCTGAACCCAGGAAGTCAAGGCTGCAGTGAGCTGTGATCATGCCACTGCACTCCAGCCCAGATGACAGAGTGGAACTCTGACTCAAAAACTAAAAATAAAAAGTTTTATTTTTATATTTATTTGTTAAAGATAGGTAAAATTGGGTTCTGTTTCAGTTTAAGAATCTCTAATAATAATAATAATTTTATTGATCTTTTTTTATTAAACTGGTCCTCATTTTAAAAGGCAGCTTTCAAAACCACATTACTTTGCCACATTTACAAGGTGAACTGGAACTCGTCCAAATAATCAACTACTTTTCATTGGCAACTCATTCAAACCATGACTGATTGCTTTGTTACCATGGCAGAATGACTGGGTGAAATTTAAATTAAATGTTCCAGAACGCCCCTAAATGAGCTAAATTACCTTAGAAACTAAAATTAAACAAGTTTAAGTTAATATCACAAATACTCCAAAGCTATCTTTCTCCATACTCAAAAATACTAAAAAACGAACTCAACTTTGACAACTGCAACTTTGGGTACAATTTTGGTTCTAAATGTAGATTAGTATGAATTCTGTTTTTTTGTTGTTCACTATTACTGTGCTAGGTCATATTGAAATGTAATACTGTAAAAATGTTTTTCTAGCCGGGCTCGGTGGCTCAGCCTGTAATCCCACGCCTTTGGGAGGCTGAGGTGAGTGGATTGCCTGAGCCTGCGAGTTCAAGACTCGCCTGGGCAGCGAGACCTCATCTCTACAATAAATAAAAAAATCAGCCGGGTGTGGTAGCACGCACCTGTAATTCCGGCTACTCAGAAGGCTGAGGCGGAAGGATCGCCGGAGCCCAGCAGGTCGAGGCTGCGGTGGCCGGGAGCGGCCACTGCACTCCAGTCTGGGCGACAGCGTGAGACTCCAACTCAAAAAAAAAAGTTTTTCTATTAATGCTAGCTTGGTTAACTAATTGTTAATCAATGTCAGAAAACAAACAATAACTTTTCTATTCCATATCTATCCACAAAAGACAATTATTTATTCTGTAACAGAGCTTCAAAAAGAAAGCAAATAAAGGAGAAATAATCAAACATTCTTAATTTACTGGTCTCCTCTTCACAATAGAAAACAGAAAAAAACAATGTGAAACGTGTGGAATGTCACTTCTTCCACATTCCAGAGACTTATATGTACACTTGAGTGTGCTAAAAATAAAAAAAGACAAAAGTCTCAATTTAATAACCTTCAGAATGTTGTTCAACAGGATTAAAAAATTACAAAACAGTGGTTTATGAAGACTTAGTCTGGCGAACAAAAGATGCTTTTTTGTTTTCTTAGTTTATTCACACAAAGATTGTTAGACAATATAATATAGATAATAAAACCATCTTCTTGACTTTAAGCATTTTCTAGAACTCTTAATCCATGACTCCTAATTTCTGCTTTCTGCTTTCCATATAGGAAGGAAAGTTTTCTCTCTCTGTGTCCACATTATTTTTTTTAATCACTAGCTGAGGAGTCAGAAAATACCTAGTTATTCCCTGCTGAACAGGTTTTCTGTATTTCTGCTTTTGGTGACATTCTTGAAGGTACAGAATAACTAATAACTGAAGCATGACTTAAATAGAAACATAACTCTGGGGAAAAAAAAGAAAAAGAAATAACTCTGGCACAGTATAAGTCAAGAAATTATTTTACTTGTTAACCAATAGCTTGGCAGTGACTTTCTTACAATAACTTGCATTTTATTTATTTTATTTTATTTTACTTCATTTCATTTTTTGAGCCTCAACCTCCTAGGCTTGGGTGATCCTTCTGCCTCACCCTTCCAAGTAGCTGGGACTACAGGCACATACCACAACACCTGGCTAATTTTATTTTGTGTCTGTGTGTAACTTGCATTTTTAAATGCAATTTTTCAATGACATAAATTAGAGGCCAATATGAGGTAAAGAAACATGCAAATTGTCAGGGAAGTCTGGTACCAGTTGCCCTAATAGAGGAAGAGGGTCATGAATTCTTGCTCCACCTATTTGAGTCACTGATGACTTTGGTTCGCTCGTCCAGTTTACCTGTTTACACTACTTTTCGTTGTTGCATTACAGACGTAGTAATATCAAGAGCATTTTTTTAAATACAGTTTCCGGAATGAATAATAACATAGGCTACTCTCAGCTAGGTTAGCCAAAGGAAGTAAGGGATACAGGCAAAGGAAATAGAACAGATAAATGATGTCTCCCAGTAATGAGTTAACTGATATCTCCCTTATCAGAAGGATCCAAACATTACTAAGAAGCAACACACACAATGAATTAGCATTCCTTCTCCACTCCTAAACCTTCCAGTACATGTGCAAACAGGGAAATAACCACAAGGAAAAAACAACACTCTGGATAACACACAAAGTACCCTCTAAAAAGTTGAGTCACTAGAGAAAAATGCTGTTTTATTTTGTTCATTGTTATAATGGTTGTCATTTCTAAACACTAAAATATGGAGAAAATGCACATATATTTGGCAAATATTGAACATCCAATTAAATTATGAATAATCCTTTTCATATACAATTAAAGGGAAATCTTTTAGAATATTTCTTCAGGGAGAAAAAATGGGTTTTAGAATATTTCTTCAAGGAGAAAAAAATGGGTTTTAGAAAATCTAAATTTCTGTGAAATTCAAGTACATCTAGAGGAATAGGGGCATATTCTTATGGCAAATCAAATGCAAGTACCATCTATGAAAATACTTTCTTTTACAAATAGAACTTCTTTGCATGATAAGTGTTCTTCAGTAACATATGGAATCCCTACAGCTAACACTGACTTCATGTGTGACTTCAACCACACATGGAACGCCTACAGGTCACTGGCTCTATTTATGAAGCAAATAACACTATACCTTCCAGATGCCTATAGGCACTAGGATTTAGAATAGTCAGGGGGCCATTTTATCTGCCTATATCCCTATATTCTAGCCCTCCCATCCTTGGTAGAAATGTATCTCTATTTCCCCAAGCCTTCCCTTAGGTCGGGATATAAACCTGGTTAAGTGCTTGGTTAGCACATCACAGGTTTGCTCTTTTGGTAAAATTAAAACCAGAACAGAAAGCACTTCCACGTAGAACACTCACACAGTTAAGGCCTGCAACTCCTCTCCTTGTCCTTCAACTCATCCTTTGCTGTGGTCTGAATGTTTGTGTGTCCCTCTCTCCACCGTGAAAAATTCCTTATGTTGAAATCCTAACCCTGAAAGTGATGGTATTAGGAGGCGGGGCCCTTTGGAAAGTGATTAGATCATAAGGGTTCAGCCCTCATGAATGGGATTAGTGCCCTTATGAAAAAAAAAAAGGCCCTGGGAGCTTCCTTGCCCATTCCACCATGGGAAGTTACAAGAAGTCTATCTACCAAGGAAGTAGGTCCTTACCAGACACCAAATCTGAACTGTGAGAAATAAATTTCTATTGTTTATAAGCCATCCAGTTTACGGTATTTTGTTATATAGCTGCCTAAACAGACTAAACACATCTCTCAAGTTGTCTACTTTCTTTTCTTCTCCTCAGCCTCAAATATATTGTCCACTTTCTCCAAAGGAATTGGGTTACACAATGACAGGTGCAAGAAAGTTGGCTCTGTTCAAAAGCCTTGTCATTACTGGATGTGACCTGACTTTAAATAGAACTCAGAGGTGACACTCAGAACATTGTACATAAAGTTCAGCTATAAAAGGTTTTAATGAGAACTAGAATTTGACACTCTACTATTTGTTAGTCTCTAGAAACTAGTTACAAGCATCAACCCTCAATTTTCCTTTTATCAGAAATCTCTTAAGCCAAGGCACAACATTTATGAATACCTTTTGAGTTCCTATTTCCAGTGATTCTCAAAATGAACAACAGCTTATCAATATACTGAAAACTTTTTACCTTATGAATTATTTTATTAGGCACTCACACATACATACTTGTATTTCTAATATCTTTCTGTCAACTCCATTTTCTAAATGTATATTCCCACATTATCAAACTTGTATTATTATTATGTTAGCTAAGTTTATTAAAAGATATAATAAAGATATCACATTCCCTTTACAAATTAAAGACCAATGATTTCTGCTTTATCCACTATATGGCATTAACATATTTTGCCTACTTTTCTTCTCAACACAAATTCTGCTCATTGAACATTTGAATGCTCACTAAAAAGTCAGGACTGTGCCGGGATCAGCAGTAGAGCAGTGAGGCAGTATAGCTGCTAGGGGCAAAGACCAGCTCTCCTTCCAAATAGCCTTCCTCAGCACTTAGAGAAACCTGGCATTTAGTAGGTACTTTAAAAATATTTGCTAAAATTTACTTGCCTAATATATAATTCAGAAACATTTCTGTGAATTAATCAAATCTGTATCTTCTTTATAAAAATAAATTTAAAGAAAATTTACCTTTAGTTTCATTCAAATCCTAGAAATGGTATTTGGCTTCTACCAACAACACCTTCCTGCTAGTATTTTTTTCTGTTGCCAGACAAGTCAAACCTTAATAGTCTCTCCTAATTTT